AAATTTCGAGGTTTACATAATCCTAATGTGTCATAGCAGTAATCAAGATATTTTTACTATTTGATTAATTTTATTTTCTTTGACTAGATAATCTAATAAACGACATGTAAGAACAAAACACGACTGGCAGCCAAACGACCACGCCATCTGTGTCCTGCTTCTTGAGTTACGCGCTTTTATGATGATTTCTAATACAGATATTACACTCAAGGCACCTAGTCTCTGTTGTTTCTTTACTTTGCGTGGGTTCTTTGAAAGTGTTGCGCTACTTGTTGGTCTACTTGATGTATAAAAAAAATATATTAATATAATAGTTATTGCTCTACAAGGTACACATTTTCTATGAACTCCAGGTATGGTGGCCCGTTTTCTACAAATTTGATAGGGTAGACTATATGATATATGAGGTTAACAATAATAATAATAATGATAATAATGAAGATTATAACAATAATGATAATAACAGTAATGATAATTATGAGATGATGTTGATGATGATAATGATAGTCATGATAATGTGTGTGTATGTGTATGTGTGTGCAGGGGCGGGTCCAGATAATTTTCTGGTGTGGGGGGCACAGGAGGTATCAACAATAAAGCTGGGGGGACCGCTCAAAAGCAACAAAAATCAAGGCTGCCCACTTTAATATTTATATTGTACAGTTACACATTGTTTATGTTCTCATCTTGCTTTTCTTGGCCACATTAAATCTGCTGGGTGTACTTTAACCAAGTGGTAGGCTAACACACAGAACACTATGATGTTTGCTGTACAGTTAGTCAGATGGTGCTTCTAGCTCTGTACAGTGAGCATAGCAGTGTTCTTCTGTGTAGTAATTAGTTTTAACCACTTAAATTCTTATAATGTAACGACAATATTCTATAATAATAAAACAATATATAAAAATGTAAGATAGAATTTAGAAATAATAAAAATCTCAGTGTTCTGTGCAGTTATCAGTTTTAATGACTAAGAACATTCTTCACAATGAAAATTAGAACAGTAACAATATCTTATACTTCAGTATACATCAGTAGTGCTCAGCTTTGTACAGTAAACATGAGTGCAGTGTACAATTATCAGTTTCAGGCACCTCTTAAATTTCCACACGGTGCAGCATCAGTAAATAATTAACAATTAACATTACGACGAGTCAATGACCACTGCGGGGGGGGGGGGGGTAGACGGGTGGCCAATCAGATTCCAGGGGGGGGGTGAGTGCCCCTCCGTGCCACCATGGAATTCCCGCCTCTGATGGGATAATGGACTACAGATATAAAACAGAATCCGAAAATCACGAAAATATCCCTAGAGACACTCCCGACTAAAGTACAAACGAATGCAAAGACAAAGAAATTAACGAGAGACGTTAGGAAGACGATCTAGAACAAGGGATCTTTCTAATTGAAATGGTATTTTGCGTTTTTGATAATGATGGTGAGCTTGAAACGATCTGTATCAATGAGGATGGGGAAGAAAAGAATATGCCTGCTGCAAGAAACTTGGAAAACGAAATAGAATCAGAAAGTATAATATTAGCATGACGTAGGTTATGTGGCGAGTAAATTTATCCAGCATCAATTTGGAGGGAAAGTTCAGGAAAGACAGAAAACCGCAGCGACCAGACGAAGGGGAAACTCACATAAACAACAACTGAATTCAAATATGGAATAGAAAAATTACGAATGGTTTATTTGATTCTATCCATGAATAGAGGGTAATTGCGCTTTCAAAAGATATACACCAGCATGTTGATCTTTCTGGTAAATGTAGCTTATGTCATTTTATGCGCATCTGGAATAACAAGTTTTATGAATCTCGTATGAGCTAGAAAATGTCCATGAATTGTGCATTTGAGACTATTTCTTTATCATCGTATAGATCATATATGTTTAGGTATGTATGTATGTATTATAGGTATGTGTTTGTATCAGTCTGATCATTGTTCCTTAAGATCAGACTAACCGAACTTTGGAACGGAAAATGAAATTGATCTCGGATGGGAGAAAAGTGAGCATAGCAGAGAAGGGTGAAGATGGCTCTTAGTTATTTAGCCATTTATGATCTAAACGTAATTGCATCACCTCTACAAGTCCTGCGAGCCTTCCACTTGATAAAGGGGAAGACCACAACCAGGCATGTCCTGGTCACCCCAAAGGGCGCCCCAATCAGCTCCCCTGACCAGAGAACCCAGGGTTCCCACGGTCCCAGGACTTGTGTGCAGAACCATTTTGGTGTTTGTGTCAAAATATGGTGGATCGGTCACTTGCCTTTCATGACGGTTGTGATATTTCTGCCGAGTGTTGTAGTCACAGCAGTAGCAAAAGCTTTGGTGAAAAGAATAGAAGCAGAGAGAGAGCAGTCAGGGGCGACGAGGCGGCAACGACCCATACTGCCGCAGCCCTGAAGGAGAGGGGGTAAAGGTCCTCTGAACCAGCTCCCACTCCAGCCAAGGACGAGACTCGCCGCCTCTCCCTCCCCTCCCCAACACTGGGAAAAGCCGCAACCTCAGCCAAAAAGGGGAAAGGAACTAGGATCTCAGAAGCCAGGGCAACCAAAGGGTCTCCCCATTCCCAGCGATAAGACCACCACCTAACTCAACCTGTCATAGGAAAGACTGTAGGGAGTTGAAGATCTGAGTCAGGTGAGGACATCAATATGGAGTTTTCAGATGCAATTGATAACCAATTAGTAATACTTGGGGGATGGTGTTGAGTCTCTTGCTGTTGAAATAAACCTAGTTGGGGGTCACCTTAAACTGTACATTGTGCACAGAAGACAGGCTGTATGAAGTTAGATAGCAATGACGCATGAGTATGTGTAGCACAAAGCCTTATGATCATAGAGGAAGACTTCACTACTCTATCTCCTTTCTGGAGAGGAAATGCACTAAGCTGTCGCATAGCTGAGGTGCGTGAGTAATGCTCTGGGATACCTCATGCAACCACGAGCCAGTGCAATATAATCTGAAATAGTAGCCTCTTGACGAAACTGTAAAGATCGCTGTAGCATTGTCACCCCCTCGGATACCAGTCTTTCTCTTATGCTACAGTATAATCTGAAAAGGAAGATAGAAAAGGCCAACTGGCTAATCTTTCAGCCCGCTTGGCCCATACAATGAGGCCTTGCGAATGTACTGGAGGCCCCAACAATGCCATAACTCGAGTAGCCTTATAGATTCTGGGCCAGCAGCAGTTTCAAGAACCTTTTTGTATTGTAATGATGATAAAAGAAGCCATTACAATACTTTTTGTACTGTAATGATGAGATAAAAAAGGCCAACCACGGAATAAAAACGAGTA